CAACGGAGGAATGGATACAGAAACTGTGGTATTTTTACACAATGGAATACTACTCAGCAATCAAAAAAGAGGAAATCATGAAATTTGCAGGCAAATGGTGGGATCTAGAAAAGATCATTCTGAGTGAAGTATCCCAGGAGAAAGACAAGCATGGTATATACTCACATATATAGACCTATAAGATATGATAAACATAATGGATTCCATACACCTTAAGAAGATAAACAAGAAATCAGGCACGGGGTAAGATGATCAATCCTCACTTAGAAAGACAAATGAGATGTGCATTGAACGTATGACAAGAGTCTATCACAGAAGGCACCTGAAAGACTCTATCTAGCAGTGTTTCAAAGCAGATACTAAGACTCATAACCAAACCTTCAGCAGAGTACAGGGAATCATATGAAAGAAGGAGAGTTAGTATGAGGTGGAAAGGATAGGAGCTCCACAAGGACCAAATATATCTGAGCACAGGGTCTTTTCTGAGACTGACACTCAACCAAGGACCACGAATGGATTTAACCTAGAACCTCTGCTCAGATGTAGCCCATAGTAGCTCAGTAACCAATTGGTTTCCCATAGTAAGGGGAACAAGGACTATTTCTAACAGGAACTCAAGGATAGGCTCTTTGACCTCTCCACCCCCCAAGGGAGGAGCAGTCCTGTTAGGCCACAGAAGAGAACATTGCAGCCAGTCTTGAAGATACCTGATAAAACAGGGACAGATGAAAGGGGAGGAGGTCCTCCCCTACAAGTGGACTTGGAAAGGGGCAAGGAGGAGATGAGGGAGGTAGGGTGGGATTGGGGAGGGAATGAGGGAGAGGGATACAGCTGAGATACAGAGTTAACAAAATGTAACTAATAAGAAAAAAAAATTGAATAAAACAAAAACTTTGGGCAGAGTGCAGGGAATCTTAGGAAAGAAGGGGAAGATAGCAAGACCTGGAGAGGACAGGAACTCCACAAGGAGGGCAACAGAACCAAAAAATCTGGGCACCAGGGGTCTTTTCTGAGGCTGATACTCCAACCAGGGACTATTCGTGGATATAACCTAGAACCCCTGCTCAGATGTAGGCCCATAGCAGGTCATTATCCAAGCGGGTACCCTAATAAGGGGAACAGGGACTGTCTCTAACATGAACATGGCTGGCTCTTTGATCACCTTCCTTTGAAGGAGAAGCAGCCTTGTCAGGCCACAGAGGAGGACAAGGCAGCCAGTCCTGAGGAGACCTGATAAGCTAGGGTCAGATGGAAGGGGAGGAGAACCTCCCCTAGCAGTGAACTTGGAGGGGAGCATAGGAGGAGATGAGGGAGAGAGGGTGAGATTGGGAGGGAATGAAGAAGGGGCTACAGCTGGGATACAAAACGAATAAACTGTAACTAATAGTAAAAAAAAAAAAAAGTTGAGTGTCTTCCTTCATCATTCTCTACCATACTTTTTTGAGACAAGGTTTCTCTTGGAACCTGGAGCTCCACAATTGGGCAACATTAGTTGGTCATCCACCTCAGGAAAATTTTTCAGTCTTGGCCTCTCCAGAATAAGGATTACAGGAACACATCACCACATACAGATTTTTACCATGTTGTTGGTGATCCCAAGTCAGGTCCTGGTGCTTTAGTGACTGAGTCCTGCCCCAACCCTTTTATTCTTTTATAACAAAATTTCTCTGTTTCTGCTATCATTATCCACATCTCTGGCCAAATTCTTGTACTGGGACAGTAGAACCCATAAATCTTTGTAAACACCTGCAAGACTTCTATCCACTGGTAACACTTGGATACTTAGATTCTAGTAACACTAATTTCATCATTATGTTTCATATCTACATATATATGTAGATATATAGATAGATAGATAGATAGATAGATAGATAGATAGATATCAGATTATCTCACTGTGCCCCATAAACATGTGTTATTAACATCTATTGTAAAGAGCTAGGTGGCACTATGGCTGATTTAACATCTTTTTCTGGTTTTTTTTTTTTTTTTTTTTTGTTGTTGTTTGTGTTTTGAGACAAGGTCTCATGTGTGGCCTGGAATTCCATATGCAGCCAAAGATGACCTTGTTCTTCTCATCCCCCTTTTTCTGCTTCCTGAGTGATGGTATATAGACATATGCTTCAACTGGTTTATGTAGCCTGGAACCCAGAGTTTCACCCATTCTGGGCTAGCACTTTACCAACTGAACCACAGTCTCCAGTTCTAACAACAACAACAAAAACTCTTTATAGGAAAATATATTGCATGCATTTAAAATGAAGGAGAACTAAAATATTTACAAAGCACTTCAGAAGTCACTTTATTAAAAAAAAACTTTGTTTCAATTTGTGGTTATAAAGTTTTTTGTCCAGTTAATTGCTTAACAAATATTACTTTTTTAAAAAATAAAAAAAAAAAACATGGTTTCTACTCACTGGTGTGTTTCCGCATACTAGCTCCAATATACATTGAAGGTCTTTACTAATTGAAGCTAACTACCCTTGTTTTGTCCTCATTGGTTGCCCCCAGATGGCTATACTACCATATATGCAAATGATTTAATTTTGAAATAACGAATCATTTAACCATGCATACATGCCTGCTTATGATTTGGCCAGACATGGCATGAATGTCTGTAATTTAACCAGACAAACATGTGTGTCTATGATTCAGCCAGACATACTTGCATGCCTATGATATGACCAGAAATAAATCACTATGGTGGTTTTCATTAGGGTGCTGTGCTGGAAGTTTCTGGAGAGAAACAGTTTCCCGCTTTTCCCCCTAGATGATCTATTCATTGCATTTTTTTAAATTTAAATTTTATTTTTTTCTTCACAGTTTATTCATTATATACCTCGATTGAAGCCCCCTTCCTCAACTCTCTCCAGTCCCCCCTCCCTCCCTACTCATTGCATTTTTAAAAATCTGGTCTTTAAGAAATGTTTGTTTTTGGTAAGGTGGCCATTTTTACTATGTTAATCTTGCCAAGCCATGAGCATGGAATATCTTTCCATCTTCTGATATCTTCTTCTATTTCTTTCTTCAGAGACTTGAAGTTTTTTTCATGCAAGTCTTTGACTTGCTTGGTTAGAGTTACACCAAGGTACTTTATGTCCTTTGTGGCTATTGTGAAGGGTGTTGTTTCCCTAATACCTTTCTCAGCCCATTTGTCTTTTTTTTTTTTTTTTTTGAGTAATTTTGTATCCGGCCACTTTGCTGAAGGTGTTTATCAGCTGTAGGAGTTCCCTGGTAGAATTTTTTTGGGTCACTCATGTGTATTATCATATCATCTGCAAATAGTGATACTTTGACCTCCTCCTTTCAGATACCCCTCAGTTGAAGAAGGAGTACCCTGAGTAAGATGATCAAACCTCATTCAGAAAGGCAAAGAGGATAGACATCAGAAGAAGGAGAAAACCAGGGATCAGGACAAGAGCCTACCACAGGGATCCTCTGAAAGACTCTCCCCAGGGAATCAAAGCAGATGCTGAGACTCATAGCCAAACTTTGGGCAGAGTGCAGGGAATCTTATGAAAGAAGTGGGAGATGAAAGACCTGGAGGGGGCAGGAGCTCCACAAGGAGAGCAACAGAACAAAAAAGTCTGGGCACAAGGGCCTTTTCTGAAACTGATGCTCCAACCAAGGACCATTCTTGGAGATAACCTAGAACCCCTGCCCAGATGTAGCCCATGGCAGCTCAGTGTCCAAGTGGATTCCTAGTAAGGGAAACAGGGACTGTTTCTGACAAGAACTCAGTGGCTGGCTCTTTGATCACCTTCCCCTGAGGTGGGAGCAGTCTTACCAGGTCACAGAGGAAGATAATGCAGACAGTCCTGATGAGATCTGATAAGCTAGGGTCAGATGAAAATGGAGGACCTCCCCTCTCAGTGGACTTGGGGAGGGGCATGGAAGGAGAAAAGGGAGGGCAGGTTTGGGAGGGTACAAGGGATGGGGCTACAGCTAGGATACAAAGTAAATAAACTTTAATAAATAAAAAATAAATTTAAAAAAACTTAAAAAAGAAATCTGTTTTACAGAGAAAAAAAAAGAAAGGTACTGAGTGTGTGAAAGGGTTGTTTTTGTGATCACAGGTCCCCTGCTCACTGCCAGGTTCTGAGTCCTGTCACTTTGTCAATTGCACTGGAACCATTTTACCAATAATATTTTACTAAAGTTCAGCTTTTATAAAAAGGCACAATTATGAAGAATCCTTATTAATCTTCTAAAACTTAAAACAGCTTCTCTTAAGAACAGCAAATATCTGTCTTTATTGATGTTTTTCAAAGATAACCCTTTTGACTCACATAGGACCGTGTTTTGCTACCAGTTAAAAATCAGGACACTGGAGAGATGGCTCAGCACTTAAGAGCCCTGCTGCTCTTATAGAATACCCATGATCACCTCCCAGAACCCACATAGGGCAGGACATAGTTCCAGGGGATCTGATGCCATCTTCTGTAAAGGCATAACACATATGCAGACATACAAACATGTATAAACATATTTAAAATAATTTAAAAAAAACCTTTAAAAGTCAGGGCTGGAAGGATGTCTTAGCGCATACAAAGAAGTCGCCATGAATTCTGATGACTTGGTTAGACTTCTCTGGAACCTATGTATGGTGCCAGTTTGTTAGCACAAATTTGAAATCCTATGTGTTCATGGTGTTCCTATGGTGCTACGGGAAGTGGGTGCACAACCTGGAGTACACAAGGCAGCAGCAGAAACTACAGCCTTTGCTCAGACAAGGTGGAAGAAGAGACAGCCCCTCTCTCCAAAGTGCTTTTGACCCCTAAATGTATACTATGACACGCGCACACATGCACACACACACGTAAGTGCATGAATTTATTTTAATTAAGAAATTCAAAGTAAATCGCACAGAATTTCATTTACAATCTAAACGTTTGTTAGCAATTTTAGTGAAATTAGAACATCTGAGAAGCTAACGGCTTCAAATTCTAAGAAAAACCAATATGTTCATATTAAAATATAGAATCTATGAGTGTGGAACATTTTCTCCAGTTTCAATTGGTCTAATGTTTTATTAAAAGGCAAAGGGATAAGGCAAAGTAACTCCTTCCCTATACAGCGTAGTTACTTTTTCTTCCCTTTCTTCTTCTGCGAGTCAGAAGCCGGAGACTTCTTCTCTGACTCTGCCTTCATGGCAGCCTCCTGAGCTGCCAAAGCTTCCAGCCTCAGGCGCTCAGCCTCCAGCAACTTGTTTCTGTATTCTTCCCGGGCATCAAGGATCTTCTGCCGGGCTTCATCTACAGAGTCCTATTTCAAAACAAACCCCATGCCCATCAGTTTCACGGATAATAATGCAGAAATACAAGAAAAAAAAATGAATACTTTTCTTTTATCCTTTCCTCATGCCAACAGACTAATGGGAAAACTCACCAAAGACAGCAAGCAGGCTTCACATTTAGAAATATATGAATTGAAAATTGTGATACAAGGCAAGTGGAATGAATGGCAAAATTAAAACAGAACAAAACAAAACAAAAAAAACAGCAACAAAGCACCCGTGAAAGAAGCACAGAAAGGCAGAGTAGTTGGAGAGGTTTTGTAGCAGAACTTTGGTTTAAATGAGCTCAGGTCAAGCTGTTGCTCACAGAGCAACTGCACTCACTAGATTACTAGCTTCCCAGCTGTATTCTAGCTCTGACAAGCTTACAAGGTATACCGGAGCTGTGCGGCAGGCCCCCGGGGCACTAGTGCCTGGCTCACTCTCTTTCTCTCATTCTAAGAGCAGTAGATAACAATACTTATCTAGAACCCAGGCACCAGCAGGCAGTTGCATTTGACATCATTTTTTGATTCTGTTCCTACTTAACCTCCTCTTCACTATCAATAGACCTCTTGGCTCACTAGATGTCACATTACTGACTCGTCCTCTGTCCCATTTCAAGGCCTCTTGTTAGTCTCTGGTTTTCTCTCTCCTCTCTGACTGTGGAAGAGGCCTCACTGTTGCTTACTGCTTCAAACTCAGTACAGCAGATAATGAGGGTAAGTGGACTGATTCTAACATAGAGAACTTTCCAGAAAAGCAAGCTTTCTCTTCATGCTGAATTTTTTGAGGTTTCACACACACATATTTCTGCAACTGACATGGTTTTGTGGAAAGGCTGGCATAGCTGGATGGCAAAATGCTTTTGATGAAATAAACTACTTTAACTGACCTGAAAATTGGATTCCTAAAGCAAACTTCATGGGTACATGATGCTCTAGCATATAGGAAAATGAGAGTGAGTAAGACACAAGCATCTTAAAGAAGTGTATAAAGTCTGTTGAACTTATGCCAGTGAACTTTTGAGAGTTTTCTTAAGAGTTATTTTCTCCTGCTTGATAAGAAATGTGTTACTCTAGGGTTTCTCTTTTAAGTGGCTTCAGTCAAAATGAGGGTGATTATATGCACCCCACCCTTGAAGACTAGACTCTTAATTCAGTATCCCAGTTAATATTTCTTCTCCACATCACTCTTGTCCATTGTATTTGTTTAGCTACCAAACACAGAAAGACAAGTGACCTTGAAATTCCCTATTTCTGATAATGTATTATGTTATATTGAATCTATGCAATTTTAACAATAATTCATCGATTCTGATTCATTTATCAAACACAATACCTATTCTTCCCTTTTAAGTCTAAGAATAAATCAGAATGAAAGCCTCCACTAGGAGAGACAGATTTAAAATGCATTCATGTTTAGTGTCTATATTACACTTTCATGTTAAACAATAAGAAAGTATATAATACTTTAGTGCCATTAGTGCACTGGATAAATACTTCCCCATGCTTTCTTAGGCTCAAAGTAACCTCACCATCTGCCAAAGCTATTGTTACAAAGTACCAGCAACCAGGTTGCTTAAGTAACAGAAATGCATTGTTTCAAAGTTCTCTATGTTGGACATTCAACCAAAGCTCCATCTCTAAAGCTATGAGTGACCACATGGTTTGCTTTAACCAATGAAATATATGTGGCAATCATGCGCTATTTCTGGACAGAACCATCATGGCTGAATTCCTATGATCAATTCAGTGTGGTCCTATATATATACACACACACACACACACACACACACACACACACATATATATATATATATATATATATATATATATATATATATATATATA